CGTCACGTCTGGAGGAAACCTGGCACCATCCCTACGGGGAAGCATGGTGGCGGCAGCATCATGCTGTGGGGATGTTTTTCAGCGGCAGGGACTGGGAGACTAGTCAGGATCGAGGGAAAGATGAACGGAGCAAAGTACAGAGAGATCCTTGATGAAAACCTGCTCCACAGCGCTCAGGACCTCAGACTGGGACGAAAGTTCACCTTCCAACAGGACAACGACCCTAAGCACACAGCCAAGACAACGCAGGAGTGGCTTCGGGACAAGTCTCTGAATGTCCTTGAGTGGCCCAGCCAGAGCCCGGACTTGAACACGATCGAACATCTCTGGAGAGACCTGAAAATAGCTGTGCAGCGACACTCCCCATCCAACCTGACAGAGCTTGAGAGGATCTGCAGAGAATGGGAGAAACTCCCCAAATACAGGTGTGCCAAGCTTGTAGCGTCATTTAATTAATTAATGAATCAATCAATTATACAATCAATCAATTAGACTTTTCTTACCAATCTAACTACTAAATAATTTATTTGAATGGTAAATCTCTAGGCTATTGATAAACTGGGTAAATCAAGATGTAGGCTAGGCCTATTCACAATTCAGGTGAATGGATATTCAATAGGAGTGTGTGTGTGCGTGCGTTAAGTTATTGAGCTTGTTTTGGCTGATTTCATGGGAAAAACCAATTTGGGACTTGTTTTGTACTGATCAACAACATTTGCATAGAAGAAGCAATCAAAAAACATTTTAAAACTGTGCGCTCTCTCTTTAAGACCCATGACATCATTCACACACACAATCAGTTCGAGGCTTGAGCAAAGATGATACTGACTGGGAGAGATGTGAGGCGGGGTAGAGGAAGTGAATGAATAAGGTTTTTGGGGACAATCAGCTTTGAAATCAGCAATATTTTGCATTATGGTTTGCATATCATCACAAACAAGGTACTAGGGAAGTTAATTGATGTTAGCTTCAACTGTAAGCTAGCAAGGAGAGTTAGTCTACAAAGCTGGAACCTGCCGTTATCCACTGGAGTACCACACACCCACGCAAGGCTCCCCGCCCCCTACCCAGATAGAATATGAACAGGTCACAAACCATGTCAACAATGTTTAGAATAGCAGGAAATTAGCTTTAAAAATGCTAAATTCTCTCAGCCTCATTGCAAAATAGCCTGAGTTTCGCTATAAAACCGCAAATGTTTCTCTGCCCCATTGCAATATGTGTAGAATCGCAGAAAATTTGCTTTAAAACAGCAACATTTTCTCTCAGCCTAATGGCAAAATGTGTAAAATAGCATGAGATTAGGGCCCCGTGTAGCTCAGTTGGTAGAGCATGGCGCTTGCAACGCCAGGGTTGTGGGTTCGATTCCCATGGGGGGCCAGTATGAAAAAATGTATGCACTAACTGTAAGTCGCTCTGGATAAGAGCGTCTGCTAAATGACTAAAATGTAAAATGTAAAAAAATTAGCTCTAAAACAAATGTCTCTATGCCCCATGGCAAAATGTGTAACATTTTAGGAAGTTAGCTGTACTAATATTTGTTTTGTGGGGGAACAGGCTAGAGCTAGCAATAAGTAAGTGGAGCGGGCACGGTGCTCTCGCGCTATAAGGGAACATCGGCTGCGCTGAGACAGACTTGACCCTCTCTCAATTAGTAGACGACGTGAGACACATTTGACAGAAGTACCGAAAGTAAAAACACAGAAGTTTCGGTATACCGTGCAACACTAGTAGCCTTAACGCCAGGCCAGGCCAGGACCCACACAGCCAAACACATTACGCTAGAGAAAACTGGCTGCTCCACTGAGACAGAACAATGGACCCCGTTACTCTGAGGGACAATAGACAACACACAGCCCAGAGGTGGCAACGCATTCATCTTTAAAGACGTGGATCTTGTTGCTTTTGTATGAATCACAAAAAAACAACACCCTCTCTTCATCTAATGATACGCTATCAGAAGGATGTAAAGGAAACAGAAGTATCATCATATGGAAAGACGGCTGCTACAGGGCCACACTGACTTCATCTTGACATTTTACATTTACATTTTAGTCATTTAGCAGACGCTCTTATCCAGAGCGACTTACAGGAGCAATTAGGGTTAAGTGCCTTGCTCAAGGGCATATCGACAGATTTTTCACCTAGTCTGCTTGGGGATTAGAACCAGCAACCTTTCGGTTACTGGCACAACGCTCTTAACCACTAAGCTACCTGCCGCCCCATTGTCATTCATCTCATATTTCTGAAACAGAACAGACAGATGTGAAATGAACAGTTGTCCAAAAGCGATCAATGGTGAAAACTAAACAAACAGCATGAAGACTAAAGCGGACAAAGAACAAAGCGCATGAAAAAACAGACTTGACTTTACTACATACAGTGAGCTCCAAAAGTATTGGGACAGTGACAATATATATATATATATATATATATATATATATATTTTTGGGCTCTGTACTCCAGCACTTTGGATTTGAAATGAGACAACGACTGAGGTTAAAGTGCATACTGTCAGCTTTAATTTGAGGATATTTTCATCCATATCGGGTGAACCGTTTAGAAATTACAGCACTTTTTGTACATAGTCCCCCCATTTTAGGGGACCAAAAGTAATGCAGTGTAATTTTGGAGTAACTTTGACTGTAAATAAGAATATAACGTTTCTTAACACTCCTACATTAATATGGATGCTACCATGATTACGGATAATCCTGAATGAATTGTGAATAATGACGAGCGAGAAAGTTAGAGGCATAAATATCATGGTAGCATCCACATTAATATAGAAGTGTTTAGAAACATATTATATTCTTATTTTCAATAAAAGGGACTCCAAAATGACACAATACATTATTTACCATTCATTTCTATTGGGCACAAAATAATCTGAAACACAACCAAAACAAACAGCAAATGCATCCAATAAATTTGTAGAGTTACAAGCATGCTATGAAAATGGGACCAAATACTTAACTTTTTACTACTTTAATACACATAAGTGAATTTGTCCCAATACGTTTGGTCCCCTAAAATGGTGGGACTACGTACAAAAATTGCTGTAATTTCTAAATTGACAATCTGAACTTTAACCTCATAGTCATTGTATCATTTCAAATCCAAAGTGCTGGAGTACAGAGCCAAAAAAATAAAATGAGTGTCACTGTCCCAATACTTTTGGAGCTCACTGTATTTTATCGTGTGTGTATGTTAAAACCTTTACCTGGTTGTCAGGGTGGTTGACGGTGAAGTAGCCCACACAGATGAGGACTTCATGCAGCAGCTCTTCAGAGGACTGCTGAGAGCAGTACCACAGCAGGGAGCTCACTATGTGGCGGAAGGCTAGGGACAGCCCCTCGGCACCTAGAACAGTCTGAGAGAGCACAGAAAAATCAGCAGCATTTAAACGCCACTGAGAAACCACAAACACAAAGCAGACACTAGCTAGCTAGACATTCACTAAAACTAACTGGCTAGATGAACAACAATATTCCAAAAAAGTTGAGAAATCAAAACTATGCTGTTAATATACAAGAGGCTGGATTTGCTGAATTAAAAGAGGAGGGATTTGTGTGCTTTAGCGGGTACAGCCTGGTTGATTTTGTGTACAGGGACTCTGCTAGGGGGTCTCTCCCCAGCCCCAACATCAGGGGTCCTACCAGAGGGACCCCAATCCCCCTGCAGAAGAGATGCTATCAGTGGTCCACAGACAGTATTTATTAAACATGTCAGCATGACTGAGCACCACAGGGTCAGCACAGAAACATACCACTGGAATCAGGTTGGGGTGTATGTATGAGGGTTGGACTGGGGACTGTTGGAGAGGAGGGGGTAAACAGTCGCCTAAACAACAGTACTTACCTGAAAGGCCCACTCCTGCTAATCAGACCTGAGTCTCACTCCTGTCTACACTCTAAATTGAACACCCTGCATACTGCAGACATATCCATCTCCCCCAATGTAATCAGTCTTAGGACTTGAAGAACAGTGAGACAAACTGACCACCTATATTTTGTCTGTCAGTGAATGAATGCAAAGGCTGAATATAATATGTGTTTTGATGGGCACCAAAAGGTTGATGATTAAATGCTAATGAATATTACACATTTACTTAAAAATAGACTTCTAAAATATTTGTAAATGAACTCATCACCAGCAGTGTCCTTTTCAGTTTGAAACCCCCTCTAACAAACCTATTTGGTAGCTGATTCTGGGAACTAGCAAAATGGCCAATGAGAAGAGGGAGCTCAGCATCCACTGTAGTGCTTATTAGTCAGCACTAGTGTGGGGTAATGTGAACCACAAGGTGAAAACAACTCACAGGGCACAAAGAAACATAATTTAAAATGTTCATAAAAACGGTACTGAAATGCTTTGACTTCCAGCTGTTTTGAATAGCCTGAGCATGGCAGAGCTGAGGGAGAGCAGCCTCTGTGTTAATTACCCACAGGCATTAAAATAATTAATAACTTTCCAACTTTCTCCCTCACGCCTTTCTGTTTATGCACTGCCAGAGCACAGTGAAGCTGTCATCCTCTCTTCATCACAGCTGATAATGTATGGCCCTGGCTACAGCACTAATCACTCAGGTCCATCCGCATTGATGACCCACTGGGCTCCATTGAACCTCAGCAGCTGACCCCAGGTCAGGGGACATGCGTGTTTATGTCCGAGAGGTCAGCTATATCCTGAGGAAAAATACTCCAGTCATAATGGCAGCAGCTCTGAGAACTGGCCTCTGCTGCCCGATCAGTAACATATGGCCTTGTTGCTGCCAGGAACAGGAAGGAGGGATATTTTCAGTGCTGCCTGATGCTAGTGCACAGGGATATGAGTGTACAAGTAAATCAAAAACTGTGAGAGGGGACATTAGGTGACAAGACCTTTTCATGGCACCCCCTATTTGGAATGTCAGTCTGTGGAATGTGTCCAGCATAATACACCTATGTTACCAGCAAGGACAGTATATATGGAATCAGAGTCACTGTAATCAATAACATCTACTGGACCTGAAGGATGAGGGATTCAAGTGTAAGAATGTGTGTGTGTCTGTGTGTGTGTGTGTGTGTATTGTACCTCAAAATGAAGAAGAGTGTGTGTGTGTGTGTGTGTGTGGTACCTGGAAGGCAGACAGGTCGAGCAGGGCGAAGCTGTTGAGGAAGCGGAGGCCCGTTAGGGCCACCTGGATGACCCCTGGGGCGTAGGGCTCCTGTGGGCTCTGGGCAGCCGGCTCAGGCAGGGAGGAGCTGTGGAGCAGGATGCAGTACAGAGTGTGCACCACACCCACCAGGTCTGTGGACTGCAGCAGGGCCGTCAGCCCCGTGGGGTCTGCACGCTTGTTGTCGAATATACTGGGAGAGCTGCAGAGGATACAGGCAATGTAAAGAAACATGTGACATTATTATTTCATTTCTGCTCAATTAACATAGTGACAGCGAAGTGTTATACAGGGAAATGAATGAGATCAGAGTACTCCACATTATAAGATCTCCAAACTCATTATTGCTTACTAAGACATAGCTCTCCTTTCCACTAAAATGTTTAGTTAAAAATATCCTGACTTTTCACTTCATTCTATATCAAGCAGAAGTTGAATTCACAACATAACTCTTCAGCTTGCAGCCAGCAACTGCAGCGAGCTAGCCGAGCTGAGAGTTTGACAACCAGCTGAAAGTCAGTAAACCTGAGAAGGTGTTGGCTGCTCTCCTCACCGCAGTGACCAGAGACCCAGGATGTAAGAGTGAAGGCAGTCTGGTCCCTGTGGCTTCTAGATTTACTCGCTAGACCAGGGCTGTCCCCTCAGATATAAATAATAGGGCCTGTCCTCTTTACATTGCATGCCTATCGGGTCAAGTGGCTTAACTGGTTACACAGAGAGAGAAGTTGGAGTTGGAAGTCTGGTGGCTGTGTGTGAGAAGGTGTCTATGCTCAGCTGTGCAGTGAAGATTATTGAATCAAATATAAATCAGGGTTAAAAAGCTTGGTCATTACCACTACAACCATAGCCAGATATATTCATTAAATGGTACAACAATGACAGAAATGTGACTTGTTTTTTTTTTACACCAGTTCAGAATCGGAGTTTGCTCCTCCAAGCTGGGCAGAGTGAACACAGGAATTTGGAAGTAGCTATGACAGCGGCTACTCCGTGCTCTTGGCTGCAGAGAGCTTCCTGGCAACGTGCTGTGTATTCAGGCACATTTAATTAAGGTCCACCTTACAGGATTGAAAGCAGCGTGTTCATGTGTCTTAGCCAGGACGCCACCCTGCAGATTAAAGGGATTGGTAACATCATCCTCTCAGCACACATCACAGGTGAGAACAGAACCGGAGTATAATACTGATTGGATGGAAGGAGAGGTTGCTCTGAGTGCCTCAGCTGCCCTCTTCATAAGACTGGAGGCCAGTCAATGCAAACTTCTAGAAACAGACTAAGTACAAAATGTACTCTCTCAAACTAGATAAACAGCACACAAGTCAATGGCATCAGAGAAAACTCATCTCAAATCGCTCCCATTGTTTTACAATTAGGATGCATGTGAACCCACCCAGTTCCATAAGCTAGTGCTGACAGGCAATTTAAGAATACCCCTGCTGCACAGGCTGTGATTTGCAGGCAGAGAAGAGGCCATTTGACCTCTGGATGGAACCCACTGTGCATGCTGTTACTTGATGTTGGCCAACAGCTCTGTGTGGAAATTCGTAGCTCGGCAAGTACATGGTCTCTAATGCCAGTTAAATCCCTCGACACAGCAACTGGCATGACCAAATATATTACAGGACCATGGTATGCATTCTCTCCAGTATAATCTCCTGAACACACGGGTAAGAATGGAGATAGTTGGCTGGATTAGCAGGGTGTTGATTATTACACAACATCGCTCGGTCCGCTCATTAAAGTGGCGAGGTTATGGTGCCGTGTTTTCTCACAGATATTAAGTGACAGTCTCAGCAGTGCTCCCCGTGTTGGTGTGAAGCAGCTGGGCATTGTTACAGCACCCAGCAGCTGGAGAGGAGAGGTACACTAGCAGAACACCTACAGTATAGTAAGTAAATCAGTCCTAGTGATACTGACTTATAAGGCCAGGTTTTGACAACAGATCTGAAATATTTGAGCTAAAATACATCTGTCCTAATTCAAACTGTGACACTACAGAAACTAAAAGGGATCTGATGTGCCCATATGACACGCATTGATGATATTTGACTAGGAGGGCAGCATACCTGTACTAAGGGTCATGCTATCTTTGTCAGTATTGCGTCTCAGTCTGTGTGCTTAGCCTCTGTCAGCGGCGCCACTGAGACACTCTTGGGGGTGGTCACAGTGACACAAGTGGGTGGGTTTCCCCCAGTGTGCTGGAGGCAAGGGTTTATGATGAGTGACAGAGCACTGGAGTCAAGAAGATGCCTATCTCCATCAACAGTAACGATGGCCTTGCCAACGCTCAGACTAAAGGAAACCACTGAGTGCGATTGACAAGGAAGCCGTGTCTTTGATTGGGCTCCAACAACCAGTCTTTATGGGATGGAGGACATAAAAGATTCAATAGTGAGTCACTCCTGCCGTTAGATTTGTGGACAGCCATGTGTGTGATCACAGGGATGTCTGGAGAGGAGGGTCATAGAGGAAGGGAGACTGCTGCCACTCACCGGCCAGTCACAGCGAAGCACAGCTTACACATGGCGTGCAGCAGAGCGGTAGCCTGATGGAGGAAGGCGGACATCTTAGGGCTCTCGTCCACTGGGCCCTGGACAGACAGGAAGCAGCCGTACAGCTTGTCAATCAGACCCATGTTCACCACGTAGCTGAGGGGGGGACAAACACAAAGGAGGATAAGAGTAAATTCACAGGAAGAAAACAACAAATGACAAAACCTTGACAGAATATTTGGATGTCATTCAAAAAGTGTCTCTGTGACATATGTTTTATCCTAACAAAGGCCCTCACTGAGCGCAACTCACTGGCAGCCCAGTTGAAATGTGATCTCTCACCCAAGTCCTCTATACTCCCTGTTATTCGTGTGATATCACCAATTTGTCTTGCCAATGACAGGTCTCATGATCATGTTCCCTCCACTATCTCAGCAACTAATCACTGGTAATAGCATCATTACATTTACATTTGAGTAATTTAACAGACACTCTGATCCAGAGCAACTTACAGGAGTGAGTGCATACATTTCCGTACCTTTTCTTACTCCAATAAGTAATTAGAGGGCGGTTGTGCCCCTGTGCCAGCCCAGAGCTAGGCCCCTGACTGTCTGCTGACCTGAGGCTGCCTCACAGCTCAGGTATGCCTTTCCCACCCCGCTCAGCCCCCGCTCAGCCCTACCCACTATAGGGACAGACAGGGAGGCTCAGCTGTCAATCACAAGACCTCCCAGATGTACCAGATAGTTCAGTCAGGAATCAGGAAGCCTGCCACTGTTCTACACTACATGAGTTCATTCCAAACCCTCTCTGGCTCTGCTTAGCTTATTCCCTCAACTCGCTCCCTCGTTCGCATACCTTTTTTTGTTGGGACTGTCAGTCAAAATGGGCTCCTCTCAAGGCAGGTAATTACCATTTTTTTAACCTCCACAATAGGTCATCTGACACTTGAACCACGGCCCCTGGTAATGACTTTATCCTCTTCCACAGCTTCACTAGAGCTGAAAGGAGCTTTCCACACACAGTTGTGCACAATGCCTGGCCCACAGTCTGTTTGAAAAGCTGTTTAGTGTTCAGTCTTGCCCCTGTGTGTTTCAACTTATGACCTACACGCATCTGTATGTTTCTGACACTGGTAGGAGATAAGTATGGTACAAAGCCTTGTGAGTGATTGATAATGAGAAATGAAGACTTAGAAGGGGAATGCTGATGTTCTCTTTCAGTGTGATCTACAGTTCACCATAATGGGAAAAAGTGTTGCTGAAGTTACCATCTTTTTGATCTCATTTCCTCCCTACCATCATATACATAATTTGAGGCAGTTGAGGCAAATCTTTCATTGCTTGCAGGGATTACTAGTCTGACGACACCATTTTTCTCAGGCTCTCCCCTGTCTCCAGGGTTACGACTGGGTCATTGTATGAGTGTTGGGCCTGTGCAGCTGCTCTGGTCAGATGAATCATTGGCTGGGGGAGGGATGATGGGAAGACTCCACTCTTCCTGAAGGCCTGGGCCTGCCTTTCCTCACCGCCCCACAGTGCCCGAGACAGACACAGCCCCTGCTACTCAAAGGCCACGTTCAAGGGGATGTTGCAAACTTCCAAGAGTGTTCTTTGATTACGTTGCCCCAAGTAAAAAAAAAAAAGACTTATTACTTTGCTGAGGAGTTTGATCCAGAACGTGTGAAAAATGACTATTTGGACAGATGCCAGAGGACAACCTCTCTCACCCTGGCAAGAAAATAATCTGACCTTTTCTAAGGGAGCTGACCTTTTGTAGTAATCTTTTCAACGAAAGGCTATTTCTGATAGTAACTAAGTTGTTTTAATTTCAGTGGTTCCCCACATCAACCCTAAAGGAGATAGTGGAGGTGGGAGAGAGGTGTTGTGAGAGGGAGAAGGGCCGTAGTAGCGCAATGTGTGGTTTGAGAGAGAGGAGGAAAAACTTACCTGATGAGGTCCTGGGCGCGGGTGTTTAAGGGCTCAATGGGGGAGGTCTTGGTCTTGGTGTCTGGTGATAGGATGCGAGGGGCGTCTCCGCGGCCACACTCAGGGACATAGGGAAGGATGAGACTCAGGATGGTAGCGCTGGTCTGCAGCAGGCTGGTGGTCAGCCCCTCAAACACCTGCTTGTTTACACTGCGACCAAAGATGGACTTGTCTTCATCTGGGACGAATAGCTGAGAAAACGACAGTGTGGTCAGTCAAGAGTTCTGTAAACCTCCACCATGTCAAAGTACAGTCTGTTCCAGTAGCTCTACACCTGGTATCTCCAGCTAGCTTGTATCACATACAGCCTTGACTAGTCCATGTCAGCTTGCCAAGTCCACTATCAAAAAAGGAATCTGGACATTGATCGAACACAGTGCAAAACTGACAAATGTCCCAGGCAGTCACAGTATCCACCAACAGCAGAGTTCAACAAAAGACCAGATCATTGCAACCTCAGCCTGACTTCTACAACACAGACAATTAAGACAGAGGAAATATCCCCATCATTTGTTTACCGGCCAAGGCCATTTGTATTGGTTGGGATCCTGATATGGCATGGGATAAACAACAACACAAGTGTTATTGTATAATTCGTTACGTGAGGGCAATAAGTCAGTGATTAACAGTCAGTGTGACATTGTTACTGTTGCCGTGCCAGACTGCTGCTGCTGCCATATGAGAGGTCTCAGAGGTACTCCCTCCCTGGTAACAAGGGAAGACAACCGGATACTGAGACTGTGGAGAAAACCACTAGAGCTAACACAGGGGGGTATTCTGTGTTCACCATCTGTGATATTAAACCAAATGCTCCCCTTACCCATGCCTCATATACATAGACGGGCTGATAGAGGAATCAGTATGCTGCAAGTTCTGACATGATTTTGTGGGCTTTAATTTAAAAAAATATTTTCATGTTAGTTATCCTAAACTCTTTATTACAAGAAATACTCCAATAAATGTTTATGAACAAAGATATATTAAGAGAGACTCAGGGTATATAAAGACCCAGGGCATGGTGTTCTGGTGACAGGAGCAGAGTGCATTTCCCCTTTTAGTTAAGTGACATTTTTGCGCGCGTGTGTGTGTGTGTGTGTGTGTGTGTGTATAGAGGTTAAGGTTTAGTTTTAGAAATAAGGAGAAGGTCAGGTAAAATGTCTGAACCATCTCATTTAGATTAATGGTTAGGGCAGCATGCTGACAGCGTTAGTAAATCCACCAACATTCTCCACAAATCTAATTTAAGAGGGACAAGCACAGACGCCGGCACTCCCTACCCCCACCCACTTCCAAACACAAACACACATTTTACATTTTTACATTTTAGTCATTTAGCAGACGCTCTTATCCAGAGCGACTTACAGTTAGTGAGTGTATACATTTTCATACTGGCCCCCCGTGGGAAACAAACCCACAACCCTGGCGTTGCAAGCGCCATGCTCTACCAACTGAGCTACAGGGGACTACACGTGCACAAACGTTCTTACACGGACTATTCATGAGCCCCATCTTCGTCAGTGTCCAAGACGTCTAAATAAGTTAACATTGTCCTGTTCAACATGTCAGTCGTCAAAGCAGCTGTGGGGATATATGTTTTATATAATCTGAAGCATACAGGCTAACCTCCCACTCTGTGCCCTCAGGGAACATGACTGCTTTGAATTGGAACTCAGGGCTGGAGAAGGAAGCCCCAGTAGAGTTCATGCATGTAGCAATGCCCATGTCTGTGCCTTGTCCTGTCTGTGCCTTGTCCTGTCTGTGCAGTCACCACCGTTAGATGTTTGGAGTCGGCTGATGTTTACAGTCTCAGAGAGTGCTGAAGGATATGGGCTGACATATAACCCAGCAGCCATACTGCCTGCCTGCCCGCTCCCTCTCATTCCCTAAGCCCAGAAGTATCTGTGTGGCTGAGGCAGTGGCTCAGGCGGTGGCTGGGCCAGGATTTGTACTGTAGCGTGTGTCTCTCTCTGTCTTTTATTAACACTGTGCCAGGAAGGAACAAATGCTGGCGATGAGGCCCTGGTTTTTCAGCACTCACAGTGTTGCATGTAGTCAGGATAATTTACATAGACAGAGACATTGGGAGAGATTCATTAAACAGCCTGGTCCTTGGGAAAACTAGCTACAGTTCTGATCATGCCATGTCACCTTCATAAGTATTACATAACGTTCAAGGACTCACGCTTTCATACAAATAACAGCTTTAAATAATACATGTGTTGTTTGAGTGAACATACATTTAATGTAATGTCATCATAGCAATAATGATAGTTTTTGGAGATGTTTTCTATGGTGTGGTGAAAGGACACTTACTGTGAGCTGATGCAGCAACAGGTCCATGAGGAAGGCTACCTTGTTGCTGAAGAGAACATAGGAGCAGTTGAAGTGGCAGCGAGAGCATGCCAGATAGTATATGTTTACAGCAGCACATAGGGACCTGAGAGGAGAGAGAAAGACAGAGGGAGAACCAGATTAATCACTTGTCAGAAGTCAAACTAAATAGTTCAAGGCAGAATTCAACACTAGTGTTACAGTGTAGGTGTTTAGCCCCAGGCACTGACATGGCTATCTGAAGTAATCAGGAAACCAAAACGCACTCCACCAGATTTGTGGTTCCTTAAGGGTACAATTTTAACTTTGGAAGGGTTGATAGCATATACATCACTGACAGTAAGAGTAGGAAAGCAGAATTCAGAAACCTAGTTATATCAACTACACTGAACAAAAATATAAAACAACACCAACAAAAAAAATATTTTAATGAGTTACAGTTCATATAAGGAAATCAGTCAATTGAAATAAATTCATTAGGCCCTAATCTATGGATTTCACATGGCTGGGAATACAGATATGCATCTGTTGGTCACAGATACCTTAAAAAGAAAAGGTAGGGGAGTGGATCAGAAAACCAGTCAGTATCTGGTCACCATTTGCCTCATGCAGCGCAACACATCTCCTTCACAGAGTTGATCAGGCTGTTGATTGTTGCCTGTGCGAAGTTGCTGGATATTGGCTGGAACTGGATCACGCTGTCGATCCAGAGCATCCCAAACATGCTCAATGGGTGACATGTCTGATGAGTATGCAGGCCATGGAAGAACTGGGACATTTTCAGCTTCCAGGAATTGTGTTCAGATCCTTATGACATGGGGCTGTGCATTATCATGCTGAAACATGAGGATCTCGTCACAGTATCTCTGTGCATTCAAATTGCCATCAATAAAATGCAATTGGGTTCGTTGTCCGTAGCTTATGCCTGCCCATACCATAACCCCACCATGGGTCACTCTGTTCACAACGTTGACATCAGTAAACCACTCGCCCACACGACACCATACACTCTGTCTGCCATCTGCCCGATACAGATGAAACTGAGATTAATCCATGAAGCGCACACTTCTCCAGCGTGCCAGTGGCCATCGAAGGTGAGCATTTGCCCACTGAAGTCGTTTACGATGCCGAAGGGTAGTCAGGTCAAAACCCTGGTGAGGATGACGAGCACGCAGATGAGTTTCCCTGAGATGGTTTCTGACAGTTTGTGCAGAAATTCTTTGGTTGTGCAAAACCACAGTTTCATCAGCTGTCCGGGTGGCTGGTCTCAGACGATCCCGCAGGTGAAGAAGACTGATGTGGAGGTCCTGGGCTGGCGTGGTTACACATGGTCTGTGGTTGTGAGACCGATTGGACGTACTGCCAAATTCTCTAAAACGACGTTGGAGGCAGCTAATGGTAGTGAAATGTACATTCAATTCTCTGGCAACAGCTCTGGTGGACATTCCTGCAGTCAGTATGCCAATTGCACGCTCCCTCAAAAAATACATCTGTGGCATTGTTGTGACAAAACTGCAAATTTTAGAGTGGCCTTTTATTGTCCCCAGCACAAGGCAGTGATCATGCTGTTTATTCAGCTTCTTGATATGCCACACCTGTCAGGTGGATGGATTATCTTGGCAAAGGAGAAATGCTCACTAACAGGGATGTAAACAAATTTGTACACACACAGAAATAAGCTTTTTGTGTATATGGAACATTTTTGGGAACTTTTATTTCAGCTCATGAAACATGGGACCAAAACGTTTATATTTTTGTTCAGTATACTTATAGCTAGACACCCTCACTACTAGTCAACTGGTTATACAGAGCTAGGGACAGTAATAAGACAAGAGATCTGCATAACCAGTGGAGCTGGGTGCAATCACAGGCAGTCCAATCTGGAGTCTGAACCTGCAGGTTTTCCTCTGTGGAGATAAGGCCATTCCTCTCAGCAGCTCCTCAGCTCAGAGCCTAAAGGCATGCTACGGCCAGGAGCAGAGCAGTGAGTGGAGCATGCCTCTGTATTATGTCTGCTTTAAACAAGCCCTAGAGAAGATTCATGCCACAGATAACTGATTAATCATTCTGCTGTGACTGCTGCTCCCCCTCGCCCTTCTTTCATCACTTAATATTTTCTGACATCTGTATATTTTAGCCAATAGCAGAGTGGCGTGTCCTATCTGCTCTGAGGAAGAATGGAATCTGGCTTTCCTTTTCTAAAGTAGGCCATGTTTATTTCAACTGGTAAACATCTTGATATCTACCGCAACCTTCACATCTGCAACGCATTTCCACGCCAACCTAGTTGGCACATAGATATAAAATAGCAGAGACTGATGTAGGCCTAGGTGGATAGGTCTGTCAACTTCCTCATGACCAAAATACTCTGCTTGTTTCATATGCTAGTTGGCAGATCTGTAATTTGTTCCATCTCATTATTGACATTGTAGTGTAAAGCTGTGAGTTATGGGAGTGTTTCCAAATAGTCACGTCAATGTCTGGTTAAGCACTCTGTGGCTTGCTTGCTTAAAAAACTTTTAAACATCTTACTGTATGAAAATCATATACCGTATGTGTATGGGCTTTCTAGCCAAATAAAATGTTTTTTTTTCTGCCACCATTTTAGCTACAAATTCCAGAGAAAACGCAAACATGAATTGGTGTGTTGATCCCTGTTTCTGCCAAACACCTCCTTAATAAGATGTGTTTACCAGCCATGAACAAAAACACAAATGCCACATGAATTCTATTGTATTGATATAAAGTCCATTAATAGTCTTGGAATGGAGTTGGTGGGAGAAGGCAGCCATCATTCCACTCAACCATGATAACACATCCTCTATTGGGCTAGAGTGAAGTAACGTGAGAACCCCACCAAACTGTGCTCTCTGGGCAGCCGACCAGCACTGGCGCTGCCTCAAATGAAAAACATTAAAGATCCATAATTGAGTAATTCAGCCAGAAGTCCGTTTTTCAGTGACAGAATTCCACCATTGGAAAGACTGCACCAATGGAATGAAATAGTCGTTTTCCTCTCAGTCTGAGGCTGTGCTGCTTTAATGTGTTCATACTGTATGTACAGAGGTGAAACCAGGCTATTGTCATTCCCATGCCTGACTCAGTAGGGAGAAAGGCCTTATTGAAATAAACAAGACAGGGTGTCAGAACCTAAGGAAGGTACAATGACAGGCTTGGGCTGATCCTGTTACAACACTGACATCGTCCTACATGAAAAGGCCTAGGAAATCTATAAGACATAGAAATTATAAGGAGAGAGAGAGAGCATGAGATCAGTCCTAAAACAAAGACTACTAAATGGGAAGATGAATGATAACCTGACAAAAAAGGGAAGGTCAATATTTATTAAATAACTTAGGCTACAAAAACAAAGCCTGAAATGGATTAGGCAAACACCATCTTCACAACGTTTCTATAATAACCTGTCAACCATAGCACCCTGGTTTTACTCCATGCGTAAGTGGAGGCTGCCCTACCCAGAATGTCATCATCCATGTAGGAGGTTCGGGGGGGGGGGACAGGCCAGTCCCCAGGTGGCAGCCACTCTTAACCAGCAGATTAAAGGGCACATCCCTCAGTTCTTTAATCTTATTAGGGAGAATAACAGCTGTCAACTGCTTCCATTCTCTACACAAACCCATAGGACAGAGACGGATCTAAAGGAACATTTAGCTATAAATGTCAACATAACAAATGTATGCAGACCATTTTCCATCTTATATAGAATATGCATTTCATTTTATAGCAGTTAAGCTATTATTATATTATACTGAAGAAAAAAATTAAACGCAACATGCAACAATTTCAAAGATTACAGTTCATAAGGAAATCAGTCAATTTAAATAAATAAATTAGGTCCTAATCTATGGATTTCACATGACTGAGCAGGGGTGCAGCCATGGGAGGGCCTGGGAGAGCATAGGCCCACCCACTTGGCAGCCAGGCCCACCCACTGGGGAGCCAGGCCCAGCCAATCAGAATGAGTTTTTCCCCACAAAAGGGTTTTATTACAGACAGAAATACTCCTCACCACCCCCCTCAGACGATCCCGCAGGTGAAGAAGCCGGATGTGAAGGTCCTGGGCTGGCGTGGTTACACGTGGTCTGTGGTTGTGAAGCCGGTTGGACATACTGCCAAATTCTCTAAAATGACGTTGGAGGCAGCTTATTGTAGAGAAATGAACATTCAATCCTCTGGCAACAGCTCTGGTGGACATTCCTGCAGTCAGCATACCAATTGCACGCCCCCTTAAAACTTGAGACATCTGTGGCATTGTGTTGTGTGACAAAACTGCACATTTTAAAGTGGCCTTTTATTGTCCCCAGCACAAGGTGAACCTGTTTAATTATCATGCTGTTTAATCAGCTTCTTGATAATCCATCCACCTGACAGGTGGGGCATATCTTGGCAAAGGAGAAATGCTCACTAACAGGAATGTAAACACATTTGTGCACAAGTTTTATTATTTTAGTCTAGGAATCCATTCCAATTAGAATCACCACGCACTCAGCCAGACAGTCAGATCTGAAGTCATGAACATTTAAGTCATTTAGCAGACGCTCTTAACATCCCACCTACTTCTCACAATCGACTCAGTCAACTGCTCATGTAATGAGCATGCAATCGCTTTGTAACACAGCTAATCAGGCATGTCTTAAGCCCTCTTTAAACAAATGGCAAAGGCACGTTTGAGTAATGTCCTTACAGCAGCTCATACAATGAGAAATCTCAGTGATCTGTCTTTAGCTCCCTCCCACCTAAAATCACCTTGATTAGCATGACACCTGATATCATCCTGTCTCCTGGAATCTCTGTTGCTATGCCCCTCGACGACAGCCTCAATGATTTTGAGGAGCAATTTAGTAAAGTGCATGCTAGTCTGTCTCGTGTTACCGTGCAGTATGTAGGCAGTGTTGGTAGACCCACGAGTGCCAATCCATCCTAACAGGCAGCATTCCTCCACCTACTCTGGGCAGCTCATTTGACCGCGTGCCACGCCCACTGCTGGACCCCATCATTTGGTGCCTGCACCACCCGCCAGACTACACCGAGCGGGAGACAACGGGCACTTTGTTAATCTGGGAATAATGAAGCGTTATTTTGTAGACACGGGATTAGGTTCCACTGCTGGCCCATACTGACAGGTTGTATAGAGAGAAAGAGAGAGAGAGAGAGAGAGAGAGATAAAGAGAGAGAGAAAGAAAGAGCGAGAGAGAGCGAGAGATAGAGAAGAGGAAGAAGCCTGGAGAGATGTAGATAATTAGCAATGTAATCTGCTCACCTACTCTACACTGCTTAACCTCAGTCTGCCAGCCACAGCAGATCACCCTACTGTCCTGATATGGCCATAGACACACACACAGCAACCTCAGGGCAGGAGCTAATGTAGTAATAATAATAATTTTGCTTATATTTGTCCTATTTCACACATGTACAAGTGTAGAGGGCTAGATAGAGACTAGAGACACACTGACTGAGCAACACCGACTTGGGCCAGCCCCCTGGGACAGCCCTACACCATGCAGCCCTGTGGGGATCACCCTGGGTGGCCGACCAGCTCGGACATGACAGGGGGGCTGGGAGTGTCACTGACCTCTGTGGCTGAATTAAAACTCTTAAGTTTAAACCAACCCAAAATCCATAGAGTATCCCAGGGGATGATAGACAGATGGCTGGGAAGGGAAGGTCAGGATCCTCCCCACCCCCACATAGTATAGTACAGTACTGCCCAAATATCCCAGGAGACACTTAGGGCTCAAGAGTATTTAACAGTATTTTCTTAGTGACATATAAACACAGAAACATCATAATAGTTTAGGGTACTGGGAAAATACCAAGTAGACTCCCCTTATAGGTAGATGTTTCCAATTTTCAGAAGTCTAACGCTTCCCTTCTTGCAAAGATAATAGGACATCAACCACGTAAAAGACTCTTTATGCTTTTTGTCACTGGGTTATCAAGCAGGAGATCGTTACACCTGAACCTCAAGCTCACGTTTCCCAACGTCTCTGTGCTTTTCCTATGTGCCCAGTCAGGCCTGACCATGGTAATGCTGCAGAAATCTGATCAACTTCCAGATCAGGTTGAATCCCTGCTTTTCAACAGAGAAAATTTGTGTTCAGGGAAAGAAAACAAATCCTAAGCCAAAACACAAGGTGAGGAGCAAATCCATTTCCTGGTACTGTCAAACAATCCCTTCATTCACTGCGATCTATATGACATTTCATTTGATTCTCCTGTTGATCTTTCTGATACCCTGAGTGCTTCCAAGATGTCCATTCTGCCTGTTGTGCCACACTGGCTGGGTATGAACTGGGAGAAATCTGATGAACCGTCACGCATCACACACACATGCAAGCACACACTCACTTGTACCCTATAACGACATCCTGAAAGGAAACCACAGGTAGCAGCTTTGATTTCACAGGATACACTCAGTCATGTGACAGAGGTGGTCAACTACAATAGTGTTTTAACATGCAGTGTCCTAGCATAGCAGTGCCACTGCACTGTTAAGACATCTCTCTAAAACTTTAAAGAAACCCTTGTTCCATTTTCAGCAAGGTAGAACTGGGGCCCCTATTCCACTAAACATCACTTAGATAAAACAGATACCACTGTCTTTTCCCTACTCTAAAGGAATAAAGGATTCTCTAAAATTCAACTCAAAGTTATACAACTGTCTCTTCAGCCCTTCAGATGGGCCAGTCTGTCTGGTCGAACACTGGCTTCTCTTCTCTCTGAGTTATACTCCAGCAGCCCCAGAGAGGGGCCCATATGCTGACAGGCTCTGGTGCTGAGCCCAGATATCACTCGGACACCAGTCCCGTCTCTCTCCCTCTACTCCCCAGTGACCCCTTCTGGGAGACACAGGGACATGTCCCATAAACACACAGTAGTTGACAAGGCTGGAATACTTTAAGAATGCATACATCTTTCCTTGACATAACACATCTGAGAAGTGTTGGATTTGTTGAAGTAGTGATGTGGAAATTTTACTTTCGCTAATTTAATCAAGCAGTGATTTCCCCCAAAGTGAGGAAGGATGTGCTGATAAAGTTGTAAAAACGGGGCCAGAACGACACCTCAGTTTACCCCCCACCTAATCCACACCTCCAGCCTGCGGCAAAACATTTTCTCACCATATACTAATAGTGACGCTGAAGATAAGAGCCTCCAGAGGCAGAGAGAGCAGAGCAGTGGTGCTGCCTGGTGAGGATCTGGGATCATTTACAGCTTGTTTTAGACAGCTCTCCCCCTCCTCCCCTAGGGAACACACTCTGCACTCTCTGCTCAGAATCACATAGAGCACACACTCACACAGAGTAGAGCTCACACTTTCACTGCACAGCTCCAATACAAAAATATACATCCATTGAAGGATTTTTAACAATAGTCCCTCACGTTAAGATTGGAATACGCAATTTTATTAGACGTTTTTTATTTATTTTTTATCTAGATGATTTAATGTTTTTCAAAACTACAAAATTACTCTCCAGGTGCAGACCAATTAAGGAGAATCTTCACATGCAAGTCAATTTGATTTATGGATGACTTTCTAGGTTAACATCTTTGGCATATTCTACAAAGTGTTATATTCATGTTAATGAGAGCTGTTGCTCTGCTAGTCTAGACATGGATCCAGCGGCCACAGGGTTACACAGGGACATTAGCTCATTAATGGAATGGTAACAAGATGGAATGGGCCTCCCAGGGGGGTAATATTGCCCGAGCATCTCCGACTCTGCAGTTGACTTTTTTGTAAATCACTCAGCTTATCTGAGAGGAGGCGATCAATACGGCAGCATTACTGTAAACAGATAATGTAGCGAGCGCTGTGGTTAGCGTCTGTCTCAGACACAGACCATTACGCCATCCAGATGAGCAATAGTGATTAGCGGACAGACAGGCCATGTCCTTGAGTTGCATCTTATCACTACTGTAGCTCTCAATATTCCCTTCCCTTGACCCGATTTGACTCCCTTACTTTTCCTATTTTGTAAATGTGTGTGTTTATAGAATGTGGGTGGGATTAATACATGTTTAACCAGGCACAGGACTACAGTGAGTTTGGGCTGGGTGTGTCTGAGGGACTGGATTGATTTGCTCTGGAGGAGGGTTATCGCAGGTTCAGACCCTAGTTCATAGCACTCAGGGGCATAACAACAACCCAAGGCCTTCTACTCTACAGCACGGAGGACAGAGAGAGCACAGAGATGGTCTATAGACAGCCAGCCTATCACAACCTGAGCCCATCAATACCAACAAACACCATAGCTGCTGGTTAGACCATTCAGCTATCCAGACAGGACCTGGCAACACGTCACATGCATTGCCACTGGTAACATCATGAATACTGTTACTAAATACTGTTCAAAGTAAATACTACCGATTCATATACAGTACCAGTCAAAAGTTTGGACACCTACTCATTAAAGGGTTTTTCTTTATTTTTTACTATTTTCTACATTGTAGAATAATAGTGAAGACATCAAAACTATGAAATAACACATGGAATCATGTAGTAACCAAAAAAGTGTTAAACAAATCAAAATATATTTTATATTTGAGATTCTTCAAATAGTCACCCTTTGCCTTGATGACAGCTTTGCGCACTCTTGGCATTCTCTCAACCAGCTTCATGAGGTAGTCACCTGGCATGCATTTCAATTAACAGGTGTGCCTTGTTAAAAGTTAATTTGTGGAATTTCTTTCCTTAATGCGTTTGAGCCAATCAGTTGTGTTGTGACAAGGTAGGGGGGGGTATACAGAAGATAGCCCTATTTGGTAAAAGACGAAGTACATAGTATGGCAAGAACAGCTCAAATAAGCAAAGAGAAACGAGAGTCCATCATTACTTTAAGACATGAAGGTCAGTCAATACGGAAAATTTCAAGAACTTTAAAAAAGTTTATTCAAGTGCAGTCGCAAAAACCATCAAGCGCTATGATGAAACTGGCTGTCATGAGGACCGCCACAGGAATGGAAGACCCAGAGTTACCTCTGCTGCAGAGGATAAGTTCATTAGAGAGTTACCAGCCTCAGAAATTGCAGGCCAAATAAATGCTTCACAGAGTTCAAGTCACAGACACATCAACAGTTCAGAGGGGACTGTGTGAATCAGGCCTTCATGGTCGAATTTCTGCAAAGAAACCACTACTAAAGGACACCAATAAGAAGAAGAGACCTGCTTGGGCCAAGAAACACGAGCAATGGACATTAGACCGGTGGAAATGTGTCCTTTGGTCTGAAGTCCAAATTTGAGATTTTTGGTTCCAACCGCTGTGTCTTTCTGAGATGCGGTGTGGGTGAACGGATGATCTCCGCATGTGTATTTCCCACCGCAAAGCATGGAGGAGGTGGTGTGATGGTGCTTTGCTGGTGACACTGTCTGTGATTTATTTAGAATTCAAGGCACACTTAACCAGCATGGCTACCACAGCATTCTGCAGTGATACGCCATCCCATCTGGTTTGGGCTTAGTAGGACTATCATTTGTTTTTCAAGAGGACAATGACCCAACACACCTCCAGGCTGTATAAGGGCTATTTTACCAAGAAGGAGAGTGATGGAGTGCTGCATCAGATGACCTGGTCTCCACAATCCCCCGACCTCAACCCAATTGAGATGGTTTGGGATGAGTCAGACGGCAGAGTGAAAGAAAAGCAGCCGACAAGTGCTCAGCATATGTGGGAACTCCTTCAAGACTGTTGGAAAAGCATTCCAGGTGAAGCTGGTTGAGAGAATGCCAAGAGTGTGCAAAGCTGTCATCAAGGCAAAGGGTGGCTATTTGAATCTCAAATATAAAATATATTTTGATTTGTTTAACACTTGTTACTACATGATTCCCTGTGTTATTTCATAGTTGTGATGTCTTCACTATTATTCTACAATGTAAAAAATAGTAAAAATAAAGAAAAACCCTTGAATGAGTAGGTGTGTCCAAACTTTTGACTGGTAGTTTATATCAAGTGAAACACATACCAAGAACTGGACTAATTTCTTGAGCTTTTCTTTAGTTGCATCCTAACATTCCTAATTGTGATGACACAGGAGTGAGCTGCCCCTACATGCTGTATTAGACTTGTCCTCAGTCTTATGCATAATTATAGAAGCTCTGGAGAAGTTCCTCAACATGTTCAGACAAGGTAGTAAGTAATTGAGTAGTGAAAGAAGGTAACTGGGAGGCCATTCCTTTATCACTAGACATGGCACTCTTCAGCTCTGGATTGGACAAGCTGTTCTGTAGAGGATTAAATAAGTACCTCTGATCCAGGGTTTGCATTAGCCGGTAATAGCCGGCTTTTGGACGATACTAAATAGAAAAGCCGCTAAATAAAATTGCCGCCGGCCAATTTTTCGTGAGAAGAAAAAATCCCATTGCGAAAGAATACTTTTTGCCTATTCATTGATGGAAATACCAGTCAAATGGAAATACATTTGAACGGTCATGCTTATCAGTCTATAGGGTAATTTGCATAATTTAGTGTAATTAAATTGGTGTGTGTGTACAGTATATTCGTTATATATACACACAGCTCTGGAAAAAATTAAGAGACCACTGCA